AATGGTGAATGGAATTGTTTTCCTGATTTCTCTTTCTATTGATTCGTTGTTAGTGTATAGGAAAGCTACAGATTTCTGTGTGTTGATTTTGTATCCTGCAACTTTGCTGTATTCCGATATCAGTTCTAGTAGTTTTGGAGTGGAGTCTTTAGGGTTTTTTATGTACAGTATCATATCATCTGCAAATAGTGACAGTTTAACTTCTTCTTTACCAATCTGGATTCCTTGTATTTCTTTGTTTTGTCTGATTGCCGTGGCTAGGACCTCCAGTACTATGTTAAATAACAGTGGGGAGAGTGGGCATCCCTGTCTGGTTCCCGATCTCAGTGGAAATGCTTTCAGCTTCTCGCTGTTCAGTATAATGCTGGCTGTGGGTTTATCATATATGGCCTTTATTATGTTGAGGTACTTGCCCTCTATTCCCATTTTGCTGAGAGTTTTTATCATGAATGGATGTTGAATTTTGTCAAATGCTTTTTCAGCATCTATGGAGATGATCATGTGGTTTTTGTCTTTCTTTTTGTTGATGTGGTGGATGATGTTGATGGATTTTCGAATGTTGTACCATCCTTGCATCCCTGGGATGAACCCCACTTGGTCATGGTGTATGATCCTTTTGATATACTGTTGAATTCTGTTTGCTAATATTTTATTGAGTATTTTTGCATCTACATTCATCAGGGATATTGGTCTGTAATTTTCTTTTTTGGTGGGGTCTTTTCCTGGTTTTGGTATTAGGGTGATGTTGGCTTCATAGAATGAGTTTGGGAGTATTCCCTCTTCTTCTATTTTGTGGAACACTTTAAGGAGAATGGGTATTATGTCTTCTCTGTGTGTCTGATAAAATTCCGAGGTAAATCCGTCCGGCCCCGGGGTTTTGTTCTTGGGTAGTTTTTTGATTACTGTTTCAATTTCTTTGCTTGTAATTGGTTTGTTTAACTTTTGTGTTTCTTCCTTGGTCAGTCTTGGGAGGTTGTATTTTTCTAGGAAGTTGTCCATTTCTTCTAGGTTTTCCAGCTTGTTGGCATATAGGTTTTCATAGTAGTCTTTAATAATTCTTTGTATTTCTGTGGAGTCTGTCGTGATTTTTCCATTCTCATTTCTGATTATGTTGATTTGTGTTGACTCTCTTTTTCTCTTAATAAGTTGGGCTAGAGGCTTATCTATTTTGTTTATTTTCTCAAAGAACCAGCTCTTGGTTTCGTTGATTTTTGCTATTGTTTTATTCTTCTCAATTTTGTTTATTTCTTCTCTGATCTTTATTATGTCCCTCCTTCTGCTGACTTTAGGCCTCATTTGTTCTTCTTTTTCCAGTTTTAATAATTGTGATGTTAGACTATTCATTTGGGATTGTTCTTCCTTCTTCAAGTGTGCCTGGATTGCTATATACTTTCCTCTTAAGACTGCTTTCGCTGCATCCCACAGAAGTTGGGGCTTAGTGTTGTTGTTGTCATTTGTTTCTATATATTCCTTGATCTCTATTTTGATTTGTTCATTGATCCATTGATTATTTAGTAGCATGTTGTTAAGCCTCCATGTGTTTGTGAGCCTTTTTGTTTTCTTTGTAGAATTTATTTCTACTTTCATACCTTTGTGGTCTGAAAAATTGGTTGGTAGAATTTCAATATTGTGGAATTTACTGAGGCTCTTTTTGTGAGCTAGTATGTGGTCTATTCTGGAGAATGTTCCATGTGCACTTGAGAAGAATGTATATCCTGTTGCTTTTGGATGTAAAGTTCTATAGATGTCTATTAGGTCCATCTGTTCTAGTGTGTTGTTCAGTGCCTGTGTGTCTTTACTTATTTTCTGCCCGGTGGATCTATCCTTTGGGGTGAGTGGTGTGTTGAAGTCTCCTACAATGAATGCATTGCAGTCTATTTCCCTCTTTAGTTCTGTTAGTATTTGCTTCACATATGCTGGTGCTCCTGTATTGGGTGCATATATATTTAGAATGGTTATATCCTCTTGTTGGACTAAGCCCTTTATCATTATGTAGTGGCCTTCTTTATCTCTTGTTACTTTCTTTGTTTTGAAGTCTATTTTGTCTGATATTAGTACTGCAACCCCTGCTTTCTTCTCACTGTTGTTTGCCTGAAATATGTTTTTCCATCCCTTGACTTTTAGTCTATGCTTATCTTTGGGTTTAAGGTGAGTTTCTTGTAAGCAGCATATAGATGGGTCTTGCTTTTTTATCCATTCTATTACTCTATGTCTTTTGATTGGTGCATTAAGTCCATTTACATTTAGGGTGACTATTGAAAGATATGTACTTATTGCCATTGCAGGCTTTAGATTCGTGGTTACCAAAGGTTCAAGGTTAGCTTCTTTAGTATCTTACTGCCTAACTTAGCTCGCTTATTGAGCTGTTATATACACTGTCTGGAGAGTCTTTTCTTCTCTCCCTTCTTATTCCTCCTCCTCCATTCTTCATATGTTGTGTGTTTTGTTCTGTGCTCTTTTTAGGGGTGCTCCCATCTAGAGCAGTCCCTGTAGGATGCCCTGTAGAGGTGGTTTGTGGGAAGCAAATTCCCTCAGCTTTTGCTTGTCTGGGAATTGTTTGATCCCACCATCATATTTAAATGATAGTCGTGCTGGATACAGTATCCTTGGTTCAAGGCCCTTCTGTTTCATTGCATTAAGTATATCATGCCATTCTCTTCTGGCCTGTAGGGTTTCTGTTGAGAAGTCTGATGTTAGCCTGATTGGTTTTCCTTTATAGGTGACCTTTTTCTCTCTAGCTGCCTTTAAAACTCTTTCCTTGTCCTTGATCCTTGCCATTTTAATTATTATGTGTCTTGGTGTTGTCCTCCTTGGATCCTTTCTGTTGGGGGTTCTGTATAATTCCATGGTCTGTTCGATTATTTCCTCCCCCAGTTTGGGGAAGTTTTCAGCAATTATTTCTTCAAAGACACTTTCTATCCCTTTTCCTCTTTCTTCCTCTTCTGGTATCCCTATAATACGAATGTTTTTCCTTTTGTATTGGTCACATATTTCTCTTAGTGTTGTTTCATTCCTGGAGATCCTTTTATCTCTCTCTATGTCAGCTTCTATACGTTCCTGTTCTCTGGCTTCTATTCCTTCAATGGCCTCTTGCATCTTATCCATTCTGCTTATAAATCCTTCCAGGGATTGTTTCACTTCTGTGATCTCTTTCCTGACATCTGTGATCTCCTTCCGGACTTCATCCCACTGCTCTTGCATTTTTCTCTGCATCTCATCCCACTGCTCTTGCATTTTTCTCTGCATCTCATCCCATTGCTCTTGCATTTTTTTCTGCATCTCTGTCAGCATGTTCATGATTTTTATTTTGAATTCTTTTTCAGGAGGACTAGTTAGGTCTGTCTCCTTCTCAGGTGTTGTCTCTGTGATCTTTGTCTGCCTGTAGTTTTGCCTTTTCATGGTGATAGAGATAGTTTGCAGAGCTGGTACAAGTGACCGCTGGAAGAGCTTCCCTTCTTGTTGGTTTGTAGCCTTTTCCTGGGAGAATAGCGACCTCTAGTGGCTTGTGCTGGGCAGCTGTGCGCAGACAGGGCTTCTGCTTCCTGCCCAGTTGCTTTGGGGTTTATCTCCGCTGTTGCTGTGGGCTTGGCCTGGCTGGGGCTGTTCCTCCAAAATGGTGGAGCCCCGTTGGAGGGGGAGCAGCCAGGAGACTATTTATCTCCGTAAGGGGCCTCTGTGCTCCCTGCTGCCCAGGGGGTTAGAGTGCCCAGAGATCCCCAGATTCCCTGCTTCTGGTCTAAGTGACCTGTCCTGCCCCTTTAAGATTTCCAAAAAGCACTCTCCAAACCAAAACAACAACAGCAACAATGAGAGAGGGAACAGAAAGGAAAAAAAAAAGAAAAAACACGCGATTTTTTTTTTTTTTCCTCAGGTGCCGGTCCCAGGCACCCGCGCACTGGTCCTGCTGCCCTGTCTCCCTAGCACCAGGGTCCCTGTCCTTTCAAGGCTTCCAAAAAGCACCCACCCACCGGTCCCGCAGGGAAGGAACGCTCAATATTCTTTGTCCTCAGGCACTGGTCCCACGCACCCGCTCACCAGTCCTGCCGCCCTGCCTCCCTAGCACCGGGGTCCCTGTCCCTTCAAGGCTTCCAAAAAGCACTTGGCAAAAAGAGAGAAAAAAAAGGGGAAAAACGCGCGATTTCTTCCGTCCTCAGGTGCTGGTCTCAGGCACCCACCCACCGGTCCCACAGGGAAAAATGCGGGATATTCTTTGTCCTCAGGTGCCGGTCCCAGGCACCCGCTCACCAGTCCCGCCGCCCTGCCTCCCTAGCACCGGGGTCCCTGTCCCTTTTAGGCTTCCAAAAAGCACTCCCAAAAAAAAAAAAAAAAAAAGGGGAAAAACGCGCGACCTCCTCCGTCCTCAGGCACCGGTCTCAGGCACCCGCCCCCAGGTCTCGCAGGGAGAAACGCGGGATATTCTTTGTCCTCCGGCGCCGTTCCCAGGCACCTCCTCACCGGTCCCGCCACCCTGCCTCCCCAGCAACGGGGGCCCGTCCCTCTAAGGCTTCCAAAAAGCGCTCGCAAAAAAAAAAAACCGCTCCGGTTTCTCTCCACCCGCCGGGAGCCGGGGGGAGGGGCGCTCGGGTCCCGCCGGGCTGGGGCTTGTATCTTACCCCCTTCACAAGGCGCTGGGTTCTTGCAGGTGTGGATGTGGTCTGGATGTTGTCCTGTGTCCTGTGGTCTCTATTTTAGGAAGATTTTTCTTTGTTATATTTTCATAGCTCTATGTGTTTTTGGGAGGAGATTTCCACTGCTCTACTCACGCCGCCATCTTGGCGACATTCATTTTTAATATCCAGCTCCAGCTACTGCCTGCCTCTACTGTTGTGAAGGCAAAGGACTGACCTTTGCTAAATGCCTCTGCCAGGCTGTGAGTGGTTGGAAGACACTGTAGGAGAGCAGTGGAGAGCACAGCCTTTGCAATAAGGCAGACCTGGGTTCATGTGCCTCCTCTTCCACTTTCTAGCTATGAGGCTCAGAGACAAATGAAAGACCCTCACTGGCCTTCATGTTCCTCATCTGTAAAATGGTCTGGAGTGAAGCATTATTACTGCTATTGCTAGTGGATGTTCGGCTACTGTCAAGGCTGGCTGGTCTTGAAGCTAAATGAAAAAATCAGGAGACAGTGTGATAAAACTTCCAGCTAATGCCACTGAACTCTACATTCTGATCACAGAATGCTGTCAGGAAGCAATCATGCATACGTTCACAGGCTGAACATGCCCACAGAAAGTTGAATCTTAGAGATTAGAGAGCACAGGCATTTCCAGATAGACACTTGAGAAGAGGATACTTCTGAAACAATAGTTAAGATTCAAAAAAAAAGAGGATAAAGTACATATTTAGATTTGGAAATGATTTCTAGATGGCCACAAAGACTGTTTTAGTTGACCAGGATGACATGTTCCCCACAGAAAAGAGCTAGTGATTAGGTCACTTACAAGGGATCACACAAGGTACCCTGCACATGGCAGAGATGCCACTAACAGGAGGAACATGAGCACCTGCACTGTTAATGTCCTGTATTCCTATCCACACAAGGGAAACAACTGCAGTTAACATGGCTCTATCCTATTTCTTAAAGTCCTGCTTACATATGAAATTCCTTTAACATCTTATGTACTTATTGTTAATAATTTAATTTGGCAAGATATTCTCCAAATAGAAACTTAAAAATCACAGACATTCAACATTGCAGAAAATGTGGTTTCTTAAAGTTCATCCGTTACCAAAGTATTTTTTGAACCAATGGTAAAATGTATCACTCATAACTTCAATCTTATACCAAAATAGTCACAAAATTATCTTTGTGAATGATCTTGACTAAAATAGAGAATATTTAGATGAAGCAATCACCTTAAAAGGGGCAAAACAAACTTTTAGGCTTGAAGAAATGGCAGAGGTAGCTATATGATATAGTTAGAGAAAACATGCTTGCTGGCAGTGCCACATTCACCAGTACAATGCAAGCCTTAGCATTCCCATTCTGTACATGATAAGAACTCTCTACATAAACTTTGTATCTTACCATGAACTCTTGATCCCGTACTAGAATCATCACTAATACCTTGTGGACTTACATCTCCAGAGGATGGTAGTATCTACATAAAATAGCAAAATGGATATAAAAATATTTTTAAGCAAAAAAAAAAGCTGTAATAAAATTATTTATGCAGAATATGGAAATTCTTTTCAGTCATAGATAATACATCTTGATTTAACATATTTAATGGATTCAACCAGAAACACTAGGTGCAAGACAGAATAGCTCTGAGGAGAGTTGACTCATTTAGTGAAAACGCAAGAAGCAATGAGACAATCTCCCATGACCCTACAAAGCAAAGCTAGAGCCTGGGTTGTTCTACATGGTTCTCTGTGCAGTTGGAGTGTTTTTAGGCTTTTTGTAAAGCTTCTATTTCTCCTTTTCTCACTCTTTACTAGGTTTACCTTTTCCTTTGCTTGTTAGCTCATCAGCTGTTTATTATGAAAAGCCTAGGAAAGATTTCGGTTATTTGTATGATGTTTTAAATTTTTGAAATGATTTCAAATCAAATCCAGATTGTTTGGATAATTATTTCGGGTTGTTGCTATCAAAATTATACACAGGCAAATCAAATTAAAATTCCTGTTGCCAATAGTTACACCACAGTGCAAATAGCAGATGGCCTATACTTTATTATTAAACAACTGCTTGCATCTGAAGCCTGTAGAAGAGTTGACAGTTGAAAAGTTGATGGCTGTAGTAGAGAAGGCCATAGCTCCCAATTCTTTTCTCCTTTTACCTGCTGAAATATCATCAGGAACCTCCAAATGTTCAGTACTATCTGTCCACTACCTGCTAGGACCATGGACTGCTCCAGGTCATTCATGGCTGGGATGCAAATGAAAGCAAATGAATAAGCATGGTTAATGTATATGCTCTTATTTCTATTTTGTATTATAAATGAGCTGGTTTTGTCTATGGCTTAATGCAAATGAACACCAAAAACTATAACCACAACGTCTCATTCTAATTATGACATGCATTTAGCTGAATGAAATGAGTAGGCCAAAGCTTGATAAATTTCAATGAGTATTTTTATCCCACCTCCACCCCCTTTAAAGAGAGCAAAAGGAATTTTACTCTGTACAACTGTCATGCTTTTGTGCAGTAATGTGCAATATAATTAGAAGCCTTCATAGTGTGGTTTTATGGTGACAAAAATGGAATGAATAAAGGTAAGATGGAGAGCAGTTCTTATACAGCATCATCATTGAAAATGATAGAGTCCTTGGTCAGAGCAGGTTACTGAAGAAATTATTAATTTATGAATCAAATAAGTGTACCACTCAGTAAAAACCTGAAAGAGATGATATCCAAAGTGACAGATATTTAATGTGATTATATAATAACCAATCCAACTTAGAAAAACCAGAGTATTGTTATATAAAGAATGACAAAGATTTTCAAGAGTTACAAGCCATTTTATTTATTTATTATATTTAATTTTTTTCATTAAGGAAATAAATTCCTAATGCTAAAGGTTTTGTTTTAAACCAATTTATTTCGGAAAAAAATCTCTATGGCATATAATTAAAGGTTTTTTTTTCCTGCCAACTCTTAGAAAGCACTGGAAATTTATATTACATGTATGACTAAATATGTATATGTATCTGAGCATGCATATAATGAAATTTAGTGCCAGGTAAAAAAAATATTTTTCCAGCTCCTTTTATTAGAGGAAGACTGCACTTTGTAAACTAAAAAAATTGGCACAGTCCAGAGAAAGGTTAGTGGAAAATTAGTAATGGAAGCCAGTGTAGTCATTTGAAAGAAGCTGAACTGTCATAAAGTCTTACACATGGAACGATGGTAGTAGGTCTTCATTTTTGTGTTTATCCTTTGGTCTGTTCCTCAAAAAGGGCAGTCTTCTCAGTGCAACCACTTTAATGTCAGAGCATGAGGAAAAACAGAAACAAAAATGAAAGAAAAAAGGGAGAAAAACAGATGGGAGTTAAATGTTGAAATTAAGGACAGAAATAAATGTCTGAGTTTCAGCTATGTATGCTATACTAAAGCTATTATTCTCTTGCTGCTGAGTGATAATGAAATGAAATATGTCCTTTGATACTTTAAAATACTTGGAAAAACACTGAAGATAATGATAAGGAACAATATATTTTGAAAGCTTGGATCGGCTAGAGTCCTATCAATACAGTAACTGATTAGAGTCACTTATGGAAGGAAAAGTTTTCCTAGTTAAGTTGTAAAGGTTTACCTTTAAATTACAGCTATTGGTGGCTCACAAAGCACACATTATGAAAATATCTGAAGGCTTTTTAATCCTTCATTTTTTTCTACTTTTTAAATTATAAGGTTTAATTCTGGAAAAAACATACTTTAGGAAAATACAAATTCTGTACAGGAGCATTTTAGTAAAATACATCAACCATAACTGGGGTGCCTGGGGATGATTAAAACAGTCTAAAGAAACTTTTAATATTTTCATTAAGGACTTTCACTATTAAACTCTACTGCAGAAAATAGGGGATTCTTGGTTTAAACTGAATTCTGGTGTATTTTTAGCAGCACCATGGAAATACACACTCTTTTGAGCAAAATCTTTCAAAATATAACATTAGTAATTATATTAATGTCATATTGCAAAAGGCTGGCTGGCAGAAGAGAAAAGTATTCTGACAGTAGTAAAAATGCTAGCACTTAATATATAAGCTAATAGATAAGGAAGCACCCTAAAGCAAGCAAAAATGACAGAGAAATATGCATTTATAACATTAGATATTCTGAAGGACTTTCTGAATGAGTTCATTAAAAAAAAATCAAAGGTAACTTCTAAAAAATTTTATGAATGAAAATTAGGGTTATACATAGGTGTCAACAGCATACAAATAAAAACGTTCATTAGAGTTGCTCACAACATTCATAAACTACATTTTATCAGATTTGAATACAAAAAGTTATAACATCTTTTGGAATTGCAATTTAGGAGCTAGGGAAACAATCTTCATCAAGTCTTACAAGCATATTGTACACAGCCTTAGTAACTATGCTCTTTCTTGGGGCTTGCTATCATCTTGTAAATAATTAAAGCTCTTTGACAAACTGACAAATATCATTCATCAAGGAGAATGCAATCCGCATACAGCTTTTTAACTTATTTGACTGCTATTAGGAATGGTCATGATTCATTTAAACTTTTAATTAGAACTATTTCTCTACTGATTGGTAAACACAGCTGTTACCAATGATTAAAACGAAATGAACTGAAAGCAAAAACGCACATTTAGCTAAAACAAAGCTGAGTGGTTGCAGCATGCACATGTTGTCTTGTTTAGACACTTTTTCTGTTTCCAACTGTTTTCCAAAGACTGCTTTACTGACAGACACTCTCCCAATGGACTGGATAAAAGGAGTTTTAAGTATGCCCGTGGTGGAATGTGATCCCTCTCATGGCAGTTAGTTTGTAGATATACAATGTTTTTTTCCCAAACCATACTGAAATTAAGGGAATGTTAGCATTGTTGGATTCTGTGTTTCTTTTAAAGCTTTTAAAACTGAACAACTGCAGGAAAGGAGCATATTACTTCTTTCTGATTCTTATTCTGGAAATGTTTCAGCAGAGACTATGAAGGAATGACAAATTTATATTTAAAATAAACAAGATGCCCTCAAAAGTGATTGTTCTCATATCTGCATTGAAGTATCTTCCTTTGATTAAAAAAATTAAGTGCGTTCATTACCATCTCTTATTTAATAAGATGTTAGGTATTTTATTTCAAAAGGTGGCAGATAAAGTTGAATTACCTGGCACCTTTTTGGGGAAAAGTTGATATCTCTACAATATTCAGGTTTCATGTAGATTTGCTAACAAGACTAGCAAAAGACCCAGGTAACGATAATCTTATGTAGGGGTATAGAATTAAGCCACTTTCTTGAGACTAACACACACACACACACACATACACACACACACACACACTGGATATAGAATTAAATCATTTTCTTGAGACTAATAAAAACATGTATGCATAACATACATTATGCATAAATGTAGACATGCATATATGTATTGTGTGATGGTTTTTGTTCCTTACATATGGATTTTTAGAGTGATATAGGTGCATTCTGAAACATATCCTATAATGCATGTCTACTCTCCTTTACCCTAAAATATACTCTTCTCAGAGATAATTCCCCCAAGGCTATAGTTAATTTTGAGTGTTCTGAGAACTGCCCATAAGGAGAGTTTATCTTGGGAGGAAGTATTAGCTATAGCTGTTTTTCCCTATTTACTTCATATACTTACTATATATAATATGTATATAATTTCACTGTTATTCTATATAATATATGTTTATAAGTATATAAATTATATAAACATACATACTACATTTATATACATATAAATACATATTTTTAATTTAGTGACTCTGGGGATAGTGTGAATGGATGCAAAGTACCCTGTTTACATATTGTAAGACCATTGCTAGTGGTCAACTTCTTGGACATCTTCAAAAGGCTTAACACTAGACTTTTTTCTCTCTTAAAATATGCTTCCTTAGGCCTTTCCTATGCTCTTGCTGTTTAGCTAAGCACACTAGGAAAGAAATATAAAGACTATGAATTATATGTGGTACATTATGACGTGTACTTCTGCTTTTGTCATTAAAAAAATGAAATCACAAGTTTATACACAAACTTCTATCACCACATCTATTTAATTTTAATTGATCATTTACCAACCCCTCAATTCTCATAACCTTCAATTCATTCTAAATCATTGAGTAACATTGTCTTAAAATTTATATCTATTTCTCTTTGCTACCCCCCAATGTAACTTTGTTCCAATGTATAAGAATAAAACCTCATTATAAAATGCCTTATTATCTATTTAGTTATAAAGAATTATAAAAATGACCTCTTAGAAATATTTCACACCTCATAATCACCCTATGAGGTGTGACACAAAGGTGAAAAAGGCTTGCCTTGTATTAGCAGAACTAGAAACTGGCAGAAGTATTCTGGCTCTCATTTCAATGTTCTTTCTATACTATTTTTCCTCCCTGGCCAAATGATGGTATCTTTGTGTATAGTATATCCCTAAACACACAATATAGCAAATCATGTGGTTATACAGTATTGCAGTATGCAATGCATTTTATAATTACATGGCATTAAAAAGAAATGATTCATTAGACCCAAAGGACTGTTGAAGTTACTTAAGAGGAATCTTTAGAAATGATTCTAAATCAGACTAGAAATCACAAATATTTAAAGAATTTGAACACTCACTGCTGCTTTTCTTGGTCCCCAAAGTTTGGTCATCTTCTAAAGAGTTTGGACCTGCTGAAGAACTGACTTGACTATCTTGATGGGGGAGTTGAAGAAATCCTTCACTGGAGTCTGAGCAGGTAGGTGTTAATGTTAGAGATTTCTGATGTTCCCGATTAATATCTTTCTTAGACTTCATCAATTTCCTCATTTTCAGAGTAATCCAGTTGCCTCTCCTAATAGTTTAAAATATCTTATCAGCCTAAAATTCAACATATAAATCCTTCACAAAATTAGATATCTTACCTTTTTTTGTCAAGCCATGAATGAATAAATTTGGTTAATAGTACCTTCTAGGAGGAGATGGGTCAGAAAATTTGTATTGATCCATTATTTTTCTTTCTAATTTCTCTTTTTGTCTTCTTAATTCATTTAACTTCTCACTATAACAACAAAAATTACATGTTAGAATGGATATCATAACAAAAAAATCAATGCTATTTCTATTATACTATGGTGCTGCTCATTTCGGGAACAAGGAGAAGAGAAAAATTTAAAGGTGAATCATGGTTTAATACTAAGACAATTAATTCACTGAGATGCCCAGGTTAAAAATCCCTGATTTTACCAGATTCCTCTATTCTCAACAGAGATCTAATTTAGTCCTGTCAGTTCTCTCCCTCATATCTATATTAGTATTTGATCTCAAGTTACAACTGCTTGTGATTATTTTTCAATAGATCACTGCAACAGCCTTCTTAATATTTACTAATCTCTATTCTCAAAAGCTCAAATTCATACTCTAGAAAAATGTTATCGGTGGTTTAAAAAAATACAAATTCCATCATATTATTCTTCTGTTCAAGTTTTTCAATGACTCCTTTGTATGGCATAGAGAAACCTTTGAAAAGTGGCCCCTGAATATTTAGCCACTATTCCGGTGTTCCTCTTTCCTCAGTTTTGCTCCAGGCAATATCAATTTCTTTTTAGATCTTATACCATACTAAACATACTTTGTGTCTTTACATTTTTTTGCTCTCTTGGCCTGGTATGCCTCCTCAGGTGAGCTCATATTGAACTTCTAAGTCTCAGATCATGCAACCATCTCTGTAAAGTCCTCCTTGCCTCTCCCAGACTAAGGTACTCCTTTTTACTATGTTTGCTCTATTTCTATGACCTCCTACACATACCTCCATTATAGCAATGATTTGTATTGCTTCCTTTATATTACTAGTTCTTAAGAGCAGAACCCACATGTATAAATGTTAGTGCTTCTGGTTCCTAACATAATGTGTAAAGCATAAGCATTCAAAAAAGTATATATTGAAATAATAATGTCAAAAATCAAGAAAAATTAGCACTGAGTTTCTCTGCCACTGGGTATGGCAATGATGAAATCATGAATAATATTTCAGAGTGCAAAATTATTTGGTACCTACATGTACTGTCTTTGTTCAACATGAAAAAGATCCTTGCTTTCCATATTTTGTTCCAACAGTTTTCCATTCTGTAGCATTAATGTCTGAATTTGATCTAGCAGATGTCGATTTTCTTCTTCTACATTTCCTTTAAGTTGGCTTAGCAACTGTTTAAAACAAACATTTATTTTTTAAAATACCAACATTTAAATTTAACATAAATCACCCAAAACATCTGAAAAATACAGAGTACTTCACAAAGACTTGAGACTTCTATTTGAGCAATTAGATGGTTACACATTGACCATAACATTAGTGATTTATTTTAGAGATGACAGCTAGAGTGCTGGGTTCTGTGTCCTACCCATATATTTCCTTAATTCTCATGAACACTGGGTTTTAACATATAATAAATTATCTAGTTCCAAAAGCATAGCTTTCTTCAAAACTGTTTAACTCACAGTCTGAAAATTCAATTCAAATCTATGGCCATCTATTTAAGTAGATATAAAAACTGGACAACTTACTTTAATTTCTTAGTTTCAATGACTTCATCTATAAAATAAGGATAACAATTCCCACCTCAACCAGGGTCAGATGAGAATCCTGGCCACAGGAACCTTCACTTTATCCACAGTTGGTCAGGGCCCCAAGACCCCACCCAGAACAGAAGCTGCTGTGCATTTGCTGAATGAATGAATGATGCTCATTTAAGAATCAAGGTCAGGGTAGACACATTCCAGTAAATTCAAAAGTTTAGGGAAAGGATTAAAGATGGTGAAGTGAGAGGTGAGACAGAGGCCTCCTCCAAAAACCACATACAATATGAAAATAAAATTAATACAACTAATCCTGAGAAAGCAACAGGAAAGAAGGCTGTGCCAGATTGCATACACATGGAGAAAAGAACAGACCTCATGGAACAGGGTAACGTACCAAAGCTGTGACCTGGTGGGACCCAAGCACTTGCCTCACCCCAGCTCACTGGCTGGAGGAAGAGAAATGGAGCAGGGAGGGACTGGAGGCGTGGGACTGCTGAACACCTAGCTCTGTAGATCTGCTCTGGGAGCACAAACCTACATTTTACAGTGTTCTAGTGATTAGTGGAGGTGGAATACCTGGAGAGACTGATTCCAGCCGCTTATGGAAAACAGTGATCCATATCCAGCTGCTCTGGGACAAAAGAAAGGCGGGCAGTCTGAGACACTTCCTAACAGTGAGAGGGCTGCTAAAGGGGCAAGGATGGCACAGAGCTTACTGCTCAGGAGAAAGGACAGGTAGACAAAATTGTCAGGACACACTCTGCCCAGCAGGTTGGGAGCTTTCACGATCTTCTGGTGCTCCATCCCCCTGGCTGGATATGCATTCCAAGTACCCCCACTGTGACATGCATCCTGCTGCGCCTTCCGCCCGGCCAGCCTGCCCCTGGCTCACAAACCAGCGGCCCCTGGCTCACAAACCAGCGGCCCCTGCCATGGTGTCAGGCCAGCCAGAGGGAAGCCCCGCCTACAGCAACTACATTCGCAAAGCATAGAGGCATATACCTGTGTGCTCAGTTCACTGGTTCTGGCAGTGGAGACAGGCATAGCAGCTGGGAAACAGGAAACAGCTCTTTCCTCCCCCCAGACACCAACACTGCTCCCTTGCAACTCCTGACACTGATACAGGGGCTGAGCAGCTCCAGGGAGTAGAGCTTCTGGGCACTAGAGGGCGCCACATACAAATATAAAATGTCAAAGAAACCTGGTTCAAATCAAAATCATACAAACACCAGAAAGAGAGTCAAATGAAACTGATCTCATCAATCTTCCAGGAAAGAGATTTCAATATAAAAATCATAAACATGCAAATGGAGGTACAAAAAAATATCCAACAACTCAGGAAAAAATTTCGGTCAGATATCCAATCATTAAGGAATACAATGGAGGGTTGTAAAAGCAGATTAGATACAGTGGAGATGATAAATTAAATAGAAATTTGAGAAGAGGAATACAAAGAAGCTGAGGCACAGAGAGAAAAAAGGATCTCTAAGAATGAAAGAATATTGAGAGAACTTTTGACCAATCCAAACAGAACAATATAATTCAAACCAAGACAGACAGAAATGTTGTTGAACTTTTCCTTTATCATTAAAAAGCAGTTAAGCGACAAATATAAACTAATTTAAACAGTGGTGTTTTTTCTTTGGCTAGTACTTCTTTTTAACTTTATAGTGTTCAAACTAAAAGGTGAAATTCTTTACTTGTGAATACACACCTTAGGTTTGAGAACTTGGGGAAAAAGTACACACATCCATTCACTTTTTAATAATGAGCTAGAACTTTAGTGCATATTTCTTCTTATGAATGTATGTTGGGTACAACACCCACTCCCACCCCAAAAACCTCTGTCCCAGTGGAAAAGGCTTAAGATATTCATCTGAAGAACTAGGGGGCATTCTCAGAAGTTCAGGCATAAGAACCTGATGTCTATGTCTATTAGACTGAAGAATACAGAATAAAACAAAAGGCTAATAGTGGTCCCTCTCAATGCATCTTCAGGAGAAATGAAGACTTCCCAATATGATTTTCTGCCAGAGTGCTTAAGGAACTTAAAGGATTATCATATATATAGTATAGAATAGGGAAAGCAAAAAAGAGCCAAGAATGCTATCTTCTGATACACACCAACCATTTTTCATAGGACCTATTACCAATCTACCCTTATAAATCTCAAAATTCTTTTCAACACATAGATCTAAGCAACTGCCAATTGTTCAGTGTTGATTTTTAAGTTCAACCCTGATTTGCATTCTCTAACTTAGAGGTCAAAATTCATAAGACTTTGGAATTTTTAAGGTGTGGGTTTGAATCCAGCAATCTGATTCTGCCATTTATTAGCTGTGATCCTGAATCTCAGTTTTCTAATCTAATGAAGAGAATAACTATAAAGAACTGGTCATAAAAATTACATTAATATACAGAAATACAACTAATGAAGTCCTTAGCCCAGTACTTGCTACTTAGTTAACATTCAATAAATAGTACCTACCATGCTTCCTATTTTACTTAGCATTCAGTATTAGTCTTGATCAAATATTTTAATATTATTTTGAAACAGAAGTATAAAATTATAATGTAATAAGTCAGATATCACAAGGAAGCCTTACTACCACAACTTCATTAAAAAAAAACAATTCACATTTACTTCTTAGTTTAAGAAAAGAAGGAAACTTGTAAACTATAGTTTTAATTCCAAATTTCAACTTTGAACCAGATGATGCAAATCACTAATGGTTCCAATAAAAAAAATTTTAAAGCCTTGAGTTAAAAATACATAAAATATTTGTCTTAAATCTAAGTAATTATATTTACCTCTCGTAATGTAACCAAAGTTTTTATTTCAATAGATGCTCTTTTCATGAGCTCCTTATTCTCTTTCACTAATTCTTTCAGATGAATGTAGGATTCTTTATAAACACCAATCTCTTTGAAGAGGGTTTTATTTTCTTTTTCCAAATTTCCGATTTTCACATTATTTTCTTCTAACGTAGTATCTTTTATTGCTGCTTGTTGTCGGAGTCTCTTATTTTCCTTCTCCAATTGTTTCTTATCCTTTTCTAGTGGAGAAGTCTCTTGCTCTAATGACTTATTTTCTTTTTCTAACTGTTCCGGTCTTTTGCTAGATACTTTTAACTCTTCTGAGTTTTTTTGCAATGTTTGATTTTCCATCTCTAAGTCTTGAAGTTCATTCTCTAATTGCTGAATTTTCTTCTTGCTGTTTTCTAGATCTTTCTGTAGCCTTTGATTTTCGGTATCTAAACCCTGGTAGCTAACTTCCAAGCATTCTGTTTTCTCAAAAGCTGCTTTCATGAGCTCTAAACCCTTCTTCAGCTGTTCTTTTTCACTTTCCAGTTCTTTATTTTCTAGTTGTAGCTGAGCCATTTTCATGCTTGCACACTTCAAAGATTCCACATTGCTTCGCAGTTCTAAGTTTTCCTCATCAAGTTGGGAATTCTCTTTTTCTAAGGATTGTAACTGTAAAGTAAGGTTTTGAAAGCTATCCAGTGCTTTTTTAAATTTCCTATTCTCTCTTTCTAGCTCTGAATTTTCTTGTTTCAAGGCCTCAATTTTTTCACAAGTAGTTTTTAAATTGGTTATCGTTTTCTGTAACAATTCATTTTCTTTTTCAAGACGATGCAACTCATTTTCAAGTTCCTCTGCTCGTTCTCCTTTTTCTTTATAATGTTCCAATTCTTTTCTAATTTGTCTTTTTTCAAATTCGATCTTGCTTAGCTTGCTATTTGTTTCATGGAGAATTTTATTTTCTTTTTGAATGTCTTTCACGCTTGCTTCAGCACTTATCTGGGAGCGCTGCCTTAAGGAAGACACAGTTTTATTCAGATGTTCATTTTCCTGTTCTAATATTTTCATCTGATTTTTAAAAAGAAAAGAGAAAATTAAAACCTTAAATTAGCATAAACTAAATATTTTAAATTACATAGTTTTTCCATTCCAAAAACCAATGAAGAAATCAGAACATGAATGTGTATAACTTGTCTATCTTACTTTTAATTCTGACAAATATTTACTGAGACATCACTGTATAAACACACGGCCAGGTTGGCCAGATTATTGAAGCTCATGTCTTTCAGGAGTTCATAATGTATTAAATATCACTCAAAATGACCTTTAGTTATATACAGTTACATTTTAAATTTCAAGTATGAATACTGGTGAAATATATACACATATTTACTTGAATTTCTTTGGTAAGCTTTTAATTAAATTAATTTTGCAATGTATATATACATTGGTCTTCAATAAATATTTTGTTCTATTTTACATGTATATATATATATATGTGTATATATATGTAAGTGTGTATTCATTCCCCAAAAGAATTTTAATTTGCCAACATCAAAATGACAAAATCTCCTGGAACATCTGAACTAATCCATCCAATTTATATCATGGCCTAATGAAATGGTTCTCAAAATTCAGTGTGTTAAACAATCACTTAAGAACTTACAGAAGTACAGATTCATGGTTGGCTATAGAATTTTTGTTCTGTAGCTCTATGGAAATCTGTATTTTTATAGGTGGCCTGAGGACTATACCTATATAATATAAACAAATCATCTTACTTCTAAAAAATAAATAGAAATTTAAAAATAGGAAGTCATTCAATCTATCCAGTTTCTTCAAGCATAAAATGAGAATGACCAATCAACACTTGAAAGCAAATGTGAAAGTACCCAGAAATGTTGCTGCCACCACTTCTCCCTTCTCAGTGAGGGTAGAGTACAGGGGTGTTTCCCTCCGCCTCTACTCAGGGACTTCAGAATCTGTAGCCCTCTTCCACAGATACTTTAAAGCACAGGTATGGCAAAATTTTATACCAGAAGATTATTAAGCATAATGGCAATTTAAAAAATTTTAAGCTTTCCCTTCAACTTTCCTAAAATATGAGAGAAAATTATGTAAAACCATAGTTACTTGAAAATCTAAAAAATTCTAAAACATTTCCCTTTAATGTTCTATGACATTTTGTTTGCATACATTTTAAAATAACTTCAATAAATGTTAAATAAATGAAATTTATTTAAATAGTTAAGAATTCTAAGAATTTTGATCATTTTATGTAAAGGAAGTTTAATTTTTCTACTTTAATCTTAACAAAAATGGAAGATAATCTCACATGGAAAAAAGTCTTCCCATATTATCTCAAAAGCATCAACTTGCAAATCTTATCCAGGAACTCAAGTCAACATTAATTTCCATGTTCAGGAAGGTTTTAGCTATTAATAACTAATGGTTCTACCTTTACAGATTGAAATATATGGATAACAGGTATTCAATTACACTCGTTTTACATCAGTGAAATTCAAGTGAAACATTCAGTTTATAAGACATCTTTCATGCAATGACTTTATCAGAAATTGCTAGAATCACTAAGAATTTACAAATTAGACTGCAAAGCTAATTTCAAAATCAAATTATAATTTCCAGATCCAACTATAATGACAACCAAAATAAAACTTCCAAATACTAAATGGCTACTCCTACACTTTAACACTATATTGGTTGTCAAATGCTTATTAATTGGTTAATGGATTAAAGATATAAAAAATGCTTTAAATGAGTAAAAATTTTTTAAGAAAATCAAGGAGTCTTTTCACATTACCTAAGGCAGTAGTCCTCAAAGCAAGGTTCCAAAACAACAAGATGAGCATCGCCTAAGAATTTCCTATTAATAAGAACTCTCAGCCCTTACCCCAGACCTACCAAATCAGAAACTCTGGGCAGGGGGCTCAGCAATCTGTTTGAACAAGTCTTTACAATGATTCTGATGAATCTACAGTTCGAAACCACTATTGTAAGGGTGGGGAGATTTCCATAACCAAGTCTAGAAACCCAGAATCTATCAAAGGGAAAACTAGACATGGTTGACTACATATAGAAATAAAAACTAATTCATAAAGACATATGTGTAAGAGTATTTATTGCAATACTGTTCCCAGTGACCAAGAACTGGAAACAAAAGCGAGAGCATATATGGGGGAAAAAACGTGATGACAGGTGTTCCTGATAAAAGCATCACATGTGTTCCTATGACATGATTCTATTTATATAAAATGTGTGTGTATGAGTGTATGCAGAAAGATATGCAAAAATAAGTTACTTGGATCTATCACACAATTGGCATACTTCTGATTCAACCAAGCCTAATTAAAATTCAGGTTTTGTAATGCCTAAATTGTGGTCTCTAAACCATTTGCCACTGAAAGGGACAAGGGCTTTCTGGAGAAATGACTGTTTACAGGTCTCAGGCCAGAAATATTTAAGAGGAGCCTAGAACATTTTGTCATGGCAGAAAGCAAGGTAGCTTACAAGGAGTGCTAAGGTCATGTCCTAAGGATTAAGGAATCATTTTAAAGAGTTATGACAGTAACAAATGTAAATGCAGTGGACTGAAACCCTTCAAATATTTTAAATCCATGAGTTCATAATGACAGTAAAATAAAAAAAACCCTCATTATCTCAGGATATGAGAGAACCAATTCCTTACTTGGAAACTTGTAAATAAAGGGAAAAACTCAAACATTCATCCTGCTTTTTCCATAGAGCTATTCCTCAGAGTAACCAACGACTGATTTTTGTTTAAATCAATAATTTTTAAGAGAAAGTTTTTCTTTATAGAAATAATCTAGCTACCAAATTAAGAACAATATCAAAATTTTGCAACTTTGATTAAGGGATCCCAGCATATGATTTCCATGACAACTAACATCACAAAAAGAGAGAGAGAGAGACAACCAATCAATATGCCTCTTGATTGAAATATACTCCTTATGAATATTCTTACTAAAAACTCAGTTTGAACCTGATTATGCCTACAGATAAAACAAGAAACACAGGAGACAAAAGAACTTGCTAAGTGACACAAAAAGGATGCAAGGAGCAAAATCTAGATTGTGGGGTATAGTTAGACAAAAATCCTGGTTTCTTCAAGAGGAAACTTGCTAGGAAAAAAGAATAAATCTATACACTAAAAAAAGACTTAAGAGTCTATTATTTTGTAACATATTAAAACCAGAGTCTTTTTTGATTGAACATATTCATCTTACTTGGATTTAGATTTCAACAAAATGTTAAAAAAATCATAACAGATTTGGAGAAACTGAAATACTGACCAAAACACATTAATTTTTTAAGTGTGATAATGTCACTATTCTTGTTTTCTGAAAAAATTCCTTACTTTTTAGCAATATATACTAAGATATTTATTGGTGAAATTATACAAAGTCTAGGACTTATTTCAACATCATCTAGTGGTTGTAGGGAGAGTAGACAGGGTAGAAGTAAGAAATAATTGTTGAAACTGAATAATAAATATAGGAGTTCATTACTTCACATTTATGTGTCTGAAAATTTTCATAGTAAGGTAAAAAAATGAGAGTACATTAAAAACTGGAAAATAAGTACTCTATGACAGTGCTATTAATTGATACTTTTACATATATTTTTTTGACATTACATGAAAAATTAATTTGTATTTACCTTTTTATTTAGTCTTTGATTTTCTTTCTCAACTTTCAGGATTTTGGAAGTGTTACCTTCTGCAGAATCCATACTACTCCGAAGTTCTTCTACAGTTTTTGTCAAACTCTGGTTTTCCATTTCTAATTTCAATAAACTACTTGATGTCAATTCATTCACCTCACGGCCCAAAGATTTTTGTGGTGCTAAAATATTGAAAAATATATATTTGGTAAATCTGTGTTTACTCTTTACTAAATTGTTGAGTCTAAATGTACTATATCACCTGGTCCTGAACTTTATAAAATTTTCTACAGTGATACAAGATATACACAATAAAAAAATAACATATTAAAGACAGGTAAATCTTGAATTTTTATTGCATCCACAGACATTCTAGTGGGGAAAAAATGTACAAAATTTACACTGAAGAGACTAGATTTTCAGCTCTCATTCCATGAGAAATCAATTACTTGACAACGTCCCAGCCACTTTAAGTTCAATGAGTCTTAGGTTACTTGTGCAAAATATAGTTATTGCCCTGTGCGCTCTCTCTTGGAGTCATTGTTTGATTCAGGTAAGAAGTATAAAACATCCTATCCCCACACCTTCAAAAATTAAAGGACAGTTTGGGTTAAAATATCCTAATCTGATTCTGAAAAAGGAAAGACAGCATACACTGGTCACCTTGAAAAAGTCTTTCTCTAAATGAAGAATCCCTAGTAAACCTAAGTGTAAAGAGCAATATGCACTTCACTTTGCCAAAGAAAAAAAATCTAAACAGATTTGAGCATTACATTTTTTAAATTAAGAAAACTCAGTTTCTAGTTCTGTAAATGATACTCTTCGGTAAGCTAAAATAGTTATTTTTAAGTAACCCTGCAGCAGACTCATTTAATCTGTTAATTAATCAAAAATATTTACTTTGATGACATAAAAATATTAGGTTTTACAAATAAAATATGACACCTGTAATTTATTTTAAAATCCTAGATTTCAGGAAAGGCAACAGAAGTATAGGAGGGCATTTCTAGGTCTGTCTACTTTTGTGTATATTGAAATTCTCCATCATAAAAAGTAAAGAAATATGAACACAAAATAATATCCCCATAGGCAAACATTCTTTCCAAATTAGGTATGATAGACTATCCCTTAGATTTTAAGCAAAGAAAGCCTTGGTTCTTCTATCTAGCTTTTATTCTAGCCTGCATATTATTAATCTTTTAAAAGTTGATGTACTAGGGAATCACTCACTTTTAAAATTCCATTAGTTGTCCAAGTCTTCTTTAGTAAAACTTGTCTACAAGATTTGTAGTCATGCATTTCAATTAAACAAGATTAAGCTATTAATACAATATACCTTAGTAATACTTTTAATACAGTAACTGTGCTTGAAAGAAGTTTCAGGTCAGACACTAAAGAATTAAAAGAATGCTTACAACACATTTTGAACAACATGGGGATCTGCCCATGTTATAATCCTAGGTTATAGGATTTCCTAGGTTATAGGAAAAAGAACCTGAATTGTATACACACTGATCTGATATTGTCTAAAGTATCTGTGGACGTGTAAAAAAATTCTGGAAGCAAATTTTGTGAAATGTAAAAGTGACTTAAGAAAGTATTAGTTTCTTGAATTTCTCACTTTATATTTTTCTGCATTTTATATTTTTTCCAAATTTTCTATAAGGAAAGTCCCTTGTATAACTTAAAAATCCAAACTACAACCCATTAGAATGCATTTGCAGGTCTATAACCCCAAGTAAGGATGATGACGATGATATAATGATAATAATAATGATTATAAACATTCAAATGCTTACTATTTACAAGCACTATTTTAGGGGCTTCATAAGTATTAATAAATTCAATCTTCACAACAGCCCTACAAGGTATTTACTGTTATTGTTCTCACTTAACAGATGAGAAAACTGTAATTTTAACTACTTTGGTATAGAAAACATTTAAGTCTGAATTGCTTTCCTTGTAACAACTCAAAAAGAATACAATAAAAAATGTTTCACAGGTATTTTAAGAAACGCATCTCAGCAAGTTCACTGACTGAATATCATCACTTACGACAAAGGGAATTCCTAGAATTTGGAATTGGGTTCTCAAGTATAAAATTAGGAAAAGCCTAATGGTAATAAATATGACAAATCATCTGTGAAAGTAATTACTCTGTTAGCACCAGACTATAAGCTTTCTCAGACCTTATATCTATGTCACCACTGTATCTTCAGCCTGCTATAATATTTTACACATGGTAGATGCTTATTAAATATCTGCAAAAGGAAGGAAAGCAGGTGAAATAATCTAATATTGATTAACTGAGGAATTATGGAACCAGTCTAATTCAAATAAATGTGACCTAGATGTAATTTCAATAAACATAGCAGTACTAGCATTCTCAAAGCTAAATAAATATATGTATATGCTCAGCTTTAAAGTAAGAGGACAAGTCAATATGGAGCCTATGAAAAAGAGTCAAAAGTTAAAAATTTATCTAAGGGTCTTTATCATCTCCAGGGTATAACTGGGCTGGACTGGTTGGTAGGTATAATCCTAAATTGCTGATTATATATATTGATGAAAATAGCCATTAAGATCCTTAACTTGCTTTTAGAAATCTGGCTACATATTCTCCTAAGAATCTTTTCTCTGCATTTTGACTTTATACTTAGGTTTGCCTCTAGTCAAACAACAGGTTGACCAGCTAAGTATGACTTTTTTGTACTATTTAGTAGATGGCTATATTTTTCAAAATAAATTAATTAACTGGTATTCCAGCTTCCTGTGATATTAACATGAAATAATGCCTAAACAACTGATCAGATCTGTCACTGCACTTACAAAGTTGAGTTGTAAGACATGTAAAGATAAGGACCAGATCCAGGAATGTGGTAATTAAAATTACTCTAGAAATCATATCTTAGAGAGACATCTCCAGGCAAGGAATATAAAACTGCAATAAAATATCCAGAAATATAAGCATAAATATGACTTCATTTACTCACTCATCATTTTAATTAAAATGATATAGGGAATACCTTCAGAAAGTTCACTAGTTCTGTATATTTGTTCCAGCTGCCAGCCAAGATGTAATGATTCATCCATACTCTGTTTCTGTGCCATTTCCAAAGTCATATTTTCTTCCATTAATTCTTCTATCTTTTTTCTATCCATATCACGTTCCTTTTTCATTGGCAGGGAGGAGACAGAGAAAAGAAGCTAAGAAACTGTACAATTTCAAGCTAATATTTTATTATTACTCTTATTTATCAGAAACTGAACAATATGAGGATAAATTTTGAGTTCCTTAAAATTTTTCACAGTTTGAAGGTAATAGTCGGTTATAATCATTACTACTGGTCATTACACTGAGCAGGTGTCTGACATCCTTAAAAAGTAATCTCTGGGCCACTGAAAATTTCTTCATATGAATATACCATTTTACTAGTATAATAAATAATTTCCTACCCAATGCTAAATTTTAGCAAATAGTTTTATTTCTGTATTTTTAAAGGCATGTTTACACAATAGTGTATTAGGGTTTTTGGAAAAGTAGAAGATAAAATTAATAAATAATAATTTTGAACAAGAGCATAAAATTCTACCACTCCTGTATTTATATAAAATTTATATGTAATTTATTTATATATAATTTATTTAGCAAGTTCTCTGTTAAGGCCTCAAGGGCACTAGCCATCTTTGTCATTACAATGAAATTAGAAGAAGCTTGTATTTTTTTTCTTAGAGGCCATGTTACCTTAAAATACTTACCATTTCCATATCATGCAGTTTAGCTTTTAGTTGTAAATTCTCTTTTTCTAATTCATGCAATTTATCAGAACGAGCTCGTGTGCGTTCTAATTGGTCCTCCAACATGGTTTTTGTTTCAAATAAAACTTGATTGTCTTCTTTTAATTCCTAAAAGCATTTCAAATAGGCTTTATTTACAACAAATAGGTTAACATCTGTTAAATTTTCTAACTCAGACACATAAAAATTCTTTATTGTAAAATAAGACATTAAGCTGTCTTCACCAACAATTCTGTGCAAGAGTAAAGCGCTGAGGAATATAAATACAGCTGGTGTTTTCTTGGTTTCATATTTCCCCCCAGAATTTAAGCTATTATGCAAACAAAATCTGAGTACATACATTAGAATGAGTAATACTATTATAATTTCACATGAAATTATCAGGATATATTTAAATTCCTTAATCATAAGGATAAGGAACTACGTATAAGTAGTCTTTCAAATATTTAAGACACAATCTCAATAGAACCAGGGCTTTATTTATTTACTGAAATAGATTTAAAGACTTCTCTCTACTTAAACTATACCTTGAAAGTATATGGTTTGGGGTTTTTGAGTAAAATATAAGACTTACATAATGTCTGCAGTATATAAACTAAAGTCAAGAGAAACTATATTAAAATGGTGGCATTTATAGATCGTAAAGTATCTAAAGATTCCTTAGCAGTGCCGTGCATACATGCATTTCAATAACTATTGAAGAATTAATATGCACCCTATTTCTGAAGTCCACTAGATCTACTTACTGGTAAAATGTCAGGCTAAAATGTCCTAACTACTGAAAAAAATTTTTTTATTGAAGTTAGTTGATTATAATATTATATTAACTTCGGTGTATGATGACAATTTGACAATAATATATGTTATGAAATGCTCACCACAGTGTGATTACTGTCACCAGAGAAAGCTGTTATAGTATTACTGACTACATTCCCTATGCTGTTCTTTTCATGTCCATGACATATTATTTTAAAATTGGAAAGTTTGTACCTCTTTATCTCCTTCACCTATTTCATCCATTCTCCCCCACCTCCATCATCTATGGCCCCACCAGTTTGCTCTCCTTTGTTTATAGTCTATTTGTTTTGTTTTGTTAGATTCCACATGCAAGTGCAATCATACGGCATTTGTCTTTCTCTGGCTTATTTCACTTAGCATATCCCATAGGCCCATCCATGCTGTTGTGAAAGGCAAGATTTCATTCTTTTTTAAGACTGAGTTATACTCCAGTGTGTATACATACCACTTCTTTATCTATTCATGTATAAATAGACATTTAGGTTGCTTCCATATCTTGGTTACTGTAAATAATACTAGAGTATACATTGGGGCACATATATGTTTTTAAATTAGTATTTTTGTTTTCTTTGGGTAAATACCCAAAAGTGGAATTACTTGGTTGTGTGGCATTTTTAATTTCTTAAGGAACCTCCATTCTGTTTTCCATAGTGGCTGCACCATTTTACATTTCTACCAACAGTGCACGGTGACAGTTCCCTTTTCTCCACATCCTCACCAACCCTTATCTTTCTGACACTAGCCACTCTGCCTAGCATGAGGTGATATCTCATTGTGGTTCTGAACTGCATTTCCCTGATGATTAGTGTTGTTGGCCATCTGCATGTCTTCTTTGGAAAAATGTCTATTCAGTTTCTCTGCCTACTCCTTAATTGGACTATTTGTGTTTTGGGTATTGAGTTGT